AGGGAGAAGAATCTTTTGAACCCGGGAGGCAGAGGTTGCAGTGAGCCAATATCACACTATTGCACTCCAGCCACGGTGACAAGAGAGAGACTCTGTCTCAAAAAAAAAAAAAAAAAAAAGCATCCAAAAGCCTGCTACGGTGGCTCATCGCTGTAATCCCAGTTACTTGGAAGGCCAAGGCAAGAGGATCACTTAAGGAAAGGCGTTCAGGACCAGCCTGTGCAACATAGCAAGACCCCCATCGCTTAAAAAAAAAAAAAAGGCCAGGCATGGTGGCTCACGCCTGTAATCCCAACACTTTGGGAGGCCAAGGCGGGTGGATCACGAGGTCAGGAGATCGAGACCATCCTGGCTAACAGGTGAAACCCCGTCTCTACTAAAAAATACAAAAAGTTAGCCGGGCGTGGTGGCAGGTGCCTGTAGTCCCAGCTTCTCTGGAGGCTGAGGCAGGAGAATGGCATGAACCCGGGAACCAGAGCTTGCAGTGAGCCGAGATTATGCCACTGCACTCCAGCCTGGGTGACAGAGCAAGACTCCGTCTCAAAAAAAAAAAAAAAAAAAAAGCATCCAAATATCTAGAATAATGCAACTTGTAGGATAGCTCCTTCTTGTTGCTAAGGCTCCTGAATCTTTTAGCTAAAGAACTAGGAGAGAGGAAAGAGGTTATCCAAGGACCCACTGAACTAGAGGTATGTATTATGATTTCTTTGCCCTTGATAATTTTCTGGGGGTGCTGTACTAGGGTCCCATGATCTGAAGCACAAGGCATACCTGAAATAAATAAAGCCTGCATTGTCTGGCCTAAATCTGATGTGTACAGTGATGGATGGAGATGTTATTCACAGCCACACAGGCGGATTTTCTTCAGTACTTCAGTCTTACAATGCTGAGCTACTTAGGGCCTCCGGAAGCAGGTCTTAAATGTTGCTGAGTAATTGGCAAAACAATCCATTACTCAGGGAGTCACTGGAACAAAGTATAGAGGCGGTGAACATTTATATAATTTTACCCACCCGGTTGTCTTGAAGGGCTAGCCATAAATTAATGTATGTGTCCACAGCATAATGCCACAGCGGAATTTTTTTAAAGAGCCGACGTTGAATTGTTCGCAGATAGTTGGTTTGCTAAGAATGTCTCGGTGTTGTTTTTTTTGTTTGCTTGTTTTGGGTTTCTTGGGGGATAGAGTCTCACTCTGTCGCCCAGGCTGGAGTGCAGTGGCATGATCTCAGCTCACTGCAACCTCCGCCTTTGAGGTTCAGGTGATTCTTGTGCTGCAGCCTCCTGAGTAGCTGGGATTGCAGGCGCCCGCCACTAGGCCTGGCTAATTTTCATGGGTTTTTTTTTTTTTTTGAGACGGAGTCTCGCTCTGTCACCCAGGCTGGAGTGTAGTGGGGCAATCTCGGCTCACTGCAAGCTCCGCCTCCCAGGTTCACGCCGGTCTCTTGCCTCAGCCTCCCGAGTAGCTGGGACTACACGCACCCGCCACCATGCCCGGCTAATTTTTTGTATTTTAGTAGAGACAGGGTTTCACCATGTTAGCCAGGATGGTCTCGAGTGCCTGACCTTGTGATCTGCCTGCCTCGGCTTCCCAAAGTCCTGGGATTACAGGCGTGAGCCATCGTGCCCGGCCTGTTTTTGTTTTTTTGAGATAGAGTTTCGATCTTGTTGCCCAGGCTGGAGTGCAATGGTGTGATCTCGGCTCACTGCAACCTATGCCTCCCGGGTTCAAGCGATTCTCCTGCCTCAGCCTCCCAAGTAGCAGTAGCTGGTACTACAGGTGCATGCCACCATGCCCAGCTAAGTTTGTATTTTTAGTAGAGATGGGATTTCACCATGTTGGTCAGGCTGGCTTCGAACTTCTGACCTCAGGTGATCCACCTGCCTTGGCCTCCCAAAGTGCTGGGATTACAGGCGTGAGCCACCGTGCCTGGCCTTGCTGTTTTTAAATGCTTTTACCTTTCATGGCCTCAGCACACTAAAACTCATATCCACTGAGGCGACTCACTGTCAGTCTGGTTTGACCTCTTGCTATCTTTGACCTCTAGATTGAGTGCCCCAGCTCTGGGCTTCTGTAACATCGGATGGTGGGTGGGAGGAGGGGTGGGAAGAGGGATGAGTGGATGGAAGCACAAGGGGTGGACAGGATGGGTCAAGGGTGGACAGGATGGATGGGGGGGTGGACAGGATGGTTGGGGATGGACAGGATGGATGGGTGTATTACCGAAACACCAGGGGTTCAGTCCAGGTCCCATTGCTTACCATACAGAAAGCTGATTGTACCACCTGGGACAATGAGTATTGCCAGGAAAGAAGGCTTTATTCAGGTGACATCAGCCAAGGAGACAGGAGATTAAGTCTCAAATCCATCTCTCCAACAAACTCCAGTTGGAGGTTTATATAGGGGGGAGCAAATGTAGCTGCGTGCGGAAAAACAGGAATTAGAAGGGGGTAAAGAAAAGGAGTTTCAGTTCCTTGATGATATCTAGGAGGCCTGAAGGTCAGTTTCATGGGGAAGGAACTCAGATAAGGCAAATTTAAGTTTCAAGCTTTAGGACCAGGAAGGTCAATTTCTGTGTTTATCCAAAAAAAAAAAAAAAAAAATCTGTGGGACAATTTGGCCAGTTTCAGGTCAGGACAGCAGGTGGAAGGGGCGCGGGTGGGTGGGTGAGGAGGAGGACAGGCATCAGCTGAGCGGATGGATGGGGTTGGTGGGTAACCCAGACAGTATTACAGTATTTGGGAGGGGATGGGTGGCTGGCAGTGAATGTGAGTCGCTGGTGAATCTGGAGTACATGGGGCTTTGAAAAGTCACTGGGGTACCCTGGGCAGTTGGATGGGGGTCTGATGAGGGGATGAGGCTGGAAAAATGGGTGGAGGAAAAATTGCTGCCAATGCCTCCTCACATTCGTTCTTAAGTAGATGCTATGCAGGGTATTCGTAGCCTCTCTGGCTATTGTCTTTGGAATCCGGAAAGGGAGCTGGAATTAGAGAGGAACGGAGGGTCGCGTGGTTGCAGTGCCCTCTGGTGGCCATGAAGGAGTTGACAATTGGTGTCTGCATATTTTCCTTAAGTATTTTTTCATTGTCTATTCTTCCCAGCTCCCACCCCAACCCCAACATACAGACTTCCCGAGGAGAGAGATTTTTATCCGTTTACTCGTTGTATGTCCATTGTCTAGAATAGTACCTGGCACATAGTAGATGCTCAGTTAAATATTGAATGAGTGAATGACACAATTCAAACTGCTCCACCACTTTGTATATTTTTTTTATTTACTTTTTTTGTTTGAGACAGGGCCTCTGTCACTCAGTCTGGAGTGCAGTGGTGCAATCACAGCTCACTGCAGCCTCAACTGCCCAGGCTTAAGCAATCCTCCCACCTCAGCCTCCTGAGTAGCTGGGACTATAGGTGTGCACCACCACAGCTGGATAATTTTTTAAAAAATAGAAACGGAGTCTCACTGTGTTGCCCAGGCTGGTCTTGAACTCCTGGGCTCAAGTGATCCTCCTGCCTCAGCCTCCCAAAGTGCTGGGATTACAGGTGTGAGCCACCGTGCCTGGCCTCCACCACTTTATTGATAAGTGACTCTAAGCAGCTCTCTTAAATTCATAAAGCCTCAGTTTCCTCTTGGGTAAGTGGAGAGGCTAACGCCCACCCCCACGAGCATTAACTGAGGGAAGGGGACCTGCACACCTTGGATGAAGGTGCTCCCTGCTAGTTCCCATCTCATGCAGTAGCCAGCATTGCTGGCACATCACGTACTCAAAACAGCACATCATTTTCATTAAACAAACTGCTAGGATGGGCACATTTGCCGCTGGGTGTGGGGCATCCTGGGGAAAATGATCCCAGCTTGGTCCTAGGCTGACCAGGCAAAGAGGAAGTGTAGCCAGATGGACAAGGGACTGGGAGGTGATGTATGAGAGTCCTCATGTGCCATGCACGCCCCATTTCCCCACTCCCTTAGTCACACCCAACTCTTCCAACTGTCTTGAGCCATCGGACTCCCCTTGCCTTCTGAGGCTCTGAAGATGCTATATCACTTCTCTCCAAACCCCATGGCCATGACCCACGCTCAAGTCCTCTTCCACAGCTCCTCCTGGCCTCCCTGCAGCCTCTCTAGCCCCCTCAAATGCATCCTTCTGCAACAGACTGGATTGAAGCTGCAAATAAGCTTATCTGATTTTCCAGTTTGATTTCCAGCTCACTCCTGGGACAGAGTCCAAATCCTCTGACCTACCATTTTGTGGTCTGGACCCAGCCCATCTCCTAGTCACCTCCTGATCACAGCCTCAAATCTTACAGTAGACAATCTGAGCCGTTTCCTACCTCTGGGCCTCTGCCCATGCGTCTCCCCTGCCTGGAAATCCATTTCCCTGCAAGGAGGGCGTGTGTTGCCCTCGAGTGCCCAAGATCCATTCCTTCTTCCCCCAGTAATGGAGTGCCCTCCCCAGCTCTCAGATCCGGAGGTTCCTGGAAGGCTAACCCATTTCTGAGTTCAGGGGGAGCTTAAGACTCAGCCAGGCAGGTTCCTTTTGCTTTTTTAATGGAATGCTGTGGTTGCAACGAGCATTTTCCAGTTGGCCACAGCTCACGCCCACTTTGTTTTATTCCAGTTCTACCCATTTATTTTATCCAAAAGGGTCCTGGAGGCACTGAGTTCGCAGCTCCTGGGATCCACTCCTCAATTCTGCTCTATCAGGCCCCAATGCCTGCCTGGATCCCACGTTTTCCCTTCCGGTTCCCAGATCACCCCTGGGCTCAACTTTCCTCCCTTGATGCCCAGTGGTGCCCCTGGTCCCATGGGGCTTCAGTTTCCCCAGTTCAGGCATGAGAAGCTGGGGTTCACCTGAGCGTGTCCATGTTTCCCCAGGAGGAAGGACGGGAGCAGGCAGGGTGGAGCTGGGATCAGAGGGAACGGGGCAGCCACAGGTGGCACCTCTGGGCTGTGTCCTGTTGTAGCAGGATGAGCTGCAGACAAAACTTATCAGGCACCAGATTAAAGAAGGAAGAGGTTTACTCGGCTGGGAACATTGGCAGACTTGCGTCTTAATAACCGAGCTCCCTGAAAAAGAAATACTTGGCCTTTTTAAAGGTTTACAACTCTAAGGGGTCTACGTGAAAGGGTCATGATATTTTGAGCAAGTGTGGGGAGTGTGACTGGGGGCTACACGCATCAGTTAACAGAACAGAAAGTTTTGGAATGCTTTTTCCTACAACGTCTGGAATTTACAGATAACACAAGTAGTTTAAGTCAGGGGTTGATATTATTATTGTTACTTTTTTTTAACTACCAGGGCCGGGTGGTGGCGCCAGGGTCTTCTGGCTATTTATCTTACTTCTGTATTTTTTTTTTCTAACATTTTGCTTTCTTTCTTTCCTCCTGTCTTATAAACTAGGCAAGGTTGGGGGAGGAGGGCAGCAGGAGGAGTAGTGGTCTCCTTCCTTACTGTGGGACTGGCCCCTTTTGTTTAGGGTATCACCAAAGGCAGCATCCAGGTCAGCCCAGCATCTCTGCCCAGCGAACCTCCGTCTGCTGTGCATTCAGAGCCGGGTCATGCTGGTGTTTGGTTCAGGTTGGGTGCATGAAGGGTGCAGGATGGTCTGTCTGGGGCTTTTGCCTGCCTTTCTTCCTTTCTTTCCAACCTTCCTTTCCCTCCCTCCCTCCCTCTCTCTCTCTCTCTTTCTTTCTTTTTTGGAGACAGAGTGTTACTCTATCACCCAGGCTGGAGTGCAGTGGCACCATCAGCTCACTGCAACCTCCACCTCCTGCGTTCAAGCGATTCTCCTGCCTCAGCTTCCTAAGTAGCTGGGATTACAGGCACATGCCACCATACCCAGCTAATTTTTCTATTTTTGGTAGAGATGGGGTTTCACCATGTTGGCCAGGCTGGTCTCAAACTCCTGACCTCAAGTGATCTGCCCACCTCAGCCTCCCAAAGCGCTGGGATTACAAGCATGAGCCATAGTGCCTGGTTGTCCCAGGTAACTTCTGACATTTACTGACCCCTCACTATGTGCTCATATCACCACAGAACCCCATGTGGTTGATCCTTTATTAGACCCATTTTACAGATTAGGAAACTGAGATGAGCAGAGGTGAAGTCAGCCCTGCCGGGTCACAGGAGCAGCAGGTGGCAGAGCCAGAGTTGGGCTCAAGCTAATGCCAAGTGTGCCCCATTGGCCACTGACCCTAAAGATGTGTGACCAGGGCCGGGCGTGGTGGCTTACGCCTATAATCCCAGCACTTTGGGAGGCCGAGGCGGGCGGATCACGAGGTCAGGAGATCGACACCTTCCTGGCTAACACGATGAAACCCCGTCTCTACCGAAAATACAAAAAATTAGCCGGGCGTGGTGGTGGACGCCTGTAGTCCCAGCTGCTCCGGAGGCTGAGGCAGAAGAATGGCGTGAACCCGGGAGGCGGAGCTTGCAGTGAGCCGAGATCGCGCCACTGCACTCCAGCCTGAGCGACAGAGCGAGACTCCGTCTCAAAAAAAAAAAAAAAAAGAGAGAGATGTGTGATCCGGAGGGTCCATGGCTGGTGTCATCCTCTTCCGGTTTAGGACCAGTGGATTTTGGGCACTGGAGCCGCCTCTTTGGCAAACAGCTTGAGGGAGAAATCAAGGGCTGGGGCCGCCTGGGTCAGCATCCCCATGGAGATGACGTCTATGTGCGGCCCGCAGAACTGAGGGAGGTTGTCCAGGGTGATGCCCCCGCTGGCTTCCACCGCCACACTTGGGAACTGGGCCTTCAGCGCGGCAGCCGTGGGGTGCAGCTCCTGCGGGACACAAGCGGAGGGGAGGTGAGAGCCCACCACAGACCCCTCCCCGGAGGCAGAGCCCACCTCACCTTCGGCTTGAAGTTGTCCAGCAGGACAAGGTCGGCACCCGCCTCAGCCGCCTGCACGGCCTCCTGCAGGCTGCTGCATTCCACCTCCACCTTCAGAGCGAAGTCGGCTGCCTGCCGGGCCGCCCGCACCGCCTGCTGGGCAGCCGGGAGGACAAGGGTGAGGACTGGGCCCAGTGCCTGGCGCTGGGACGCAGGGAGCCGGGAGGGCGAGGGTGAGGATAGGGCCCAGCACTGAAGCTGGGGCCCAGGGAGCCAGGACTGGCATTTGAAAAGCTCCGGATGGACCATGAGTTTGGGGTTAATAAGGAAACCAGACGTTGGGTTGGGTTTGTTTTGTTTTGTTTTGTTTTGTTTTTGAGACAGGGTCTCATTCTGTCGCCCAGGCTGGAGTGCAGTGGTGCAATCATAGCTCACAGCAGCCTCCACCTCCTGGGATCAAGTGATTCTCCCACCTCAGCCTTCCGAGTAGCTGGGACTACAGGTGCGTCCACGACACCCAGCTAATTTTTGTTATTTTTAGTAGAGACGAGGTTTCACCATGGTGGCCAGGATGGTCTCTAACTCATGACCTCGTGATCTGCCTGCCTCAACCTCCCAAAGTGCTGGGATTACAGGCATGAGCCACCGAGTGGCTGGGACTACAGGGGCTTGCCCACAAACATGGCTAAATTTTTCATTTTTTGTAGAGACACAATCTTGCTATATGGCCCAGTCTGGTCTCAAACTCCTGGCCTCAAGTAATCCCCCCACCTGGGCCTCCCAAAGTGCTGGGATTACAGGCATGAGCCACTGAGCCAGGATGTTTTATTGTAGACTAAAATGACCACTTTTGTGGGTCAAAAAGCAGATGAATATCAGCAATATTTGGCATTTGGACCTGAGTTCAATTTGACTCAGAATATTAAAATTAGAAGGGGTCTTTAAGGACATTTCACAGATGGGAAATTAGGTGCAGAGGGCTAGAGAGATGGGCTCAAGGCTGTGGTGCCAGTGACACTGGCTTCCCCCGGGTTGTCCTTTGTTCTCGAACATTACACCACGCAGCAGCACAACAAAGATAAAGAGTCCATTCCAAAACCAGGTGCGGTGGCTTATACCTATAATCCCAGCACTTTGGGAGGCCAAGGTGGGAGGATCTTTTGGGTCCTGAAGTTTGAGACCAGCCTGGGCAACATAGTGAGACCCCATCTCTTAAAAAAAAAAAAAAAAAAAAGGCAGCTGGGCACAGTGGCTCAGGCCTGTAATTCCAGCACTTTGGGAGGCCAAGGCGGGTGGATCACCTGAGGTCAGGAGTTTGAGACACGCCTGGCCAACATGCTGAAACTCTGTCTCTACAAAAAAATACAAAAATTAGCTGGGCATGGTGGCGGGTGCCTGTAATCCCAGCTACTCGGGAGGCTGAGGCAGGAGAATTGCTTGAACCTGGGAGGTGGAGGTTGCAGTGAGCTGAGATTGTGTCACTTCACTCCAGCCTGGGTAAAACAGTGAGACTCCATCTCAAAAAAGAAAAAGCAAAAATTAGCCAGTGGGGTGGAGCATTCCTGTATATCCAGCTACTGGAGAGACTGAGGCCCCATCTCCAGAAAAAGAAAAGCAAGCCCAGCTCCCCATTTAGCTTAGCTGGATGAGCTCAACTGAGCCCAGCTCAGATGGAGGAGCTGAGGTGGGAAGAGTCGTGTGTTGCTGACTCCAGGCCATGGCTGTTCACCAGGTCATGGCTGGAGGCTCTGGGGAGGGGTGTGCTGAGGGTGAGGTTGGACCAGGGACAGGCAGGACCAGCACCTTCTCCACACCACCGGCGGCCACCACATGGTTGTCCTTCACCATCACCAGTCCTCCCAGGTCGTAGCGGTGTGAGGCGGCCCCGCCCACCAGGAGCCCGTACTTCTCCACCAGCCGGAAGCCTGGTGTGGTCTTCCTCGTGCCGGCCACGTGCCCAGTCCAGCCGGCCCCCCTGGCAGCCTCCACTGCAGCGGCGGCAGCACTGGCAATGCCACTGCAGCGGGCCAGCGTGTTGAGGGCCACCCGTTCCCCCAGCAGCAGGCTGTGGGCAGGGCCCCGGACCTCAGCCACTCTGGCCACCGGCACCAGCTTCGATCCCTCAGGGAGGAACCAGGAGACTTGGCAGTTGAGTTGGGTAAAGATGGCATCGAAAAAAGGCCGCCCTGCCAGTACCCCAGGGGATTTGGCCCACAGCACCGCCTGCGAGGGGCCTGCCCCGCTGACCAAGGCTGCGTAGTTGAGCCCTGGGCAGTCCTCTTGGAGCCAGCTGTCCACCAGGGCTGCCAGGGTGACGGGCGGCAGCAGCAGTGCCAGGCCTGGAGGGAAACAGAGAACAGCTGTTGAGTTTGGCTGTCTCTCCTGCTGTCAGGGATCATTGTCAAAATATTTAACAACCAGTGAAACTGGGCACTGGCCCATCAGCCTCAAGATCTAGGGGTTCCAGTGGAGGGGCTGCAGTGAGGAAAGGGGGTGTGGGGGGAAGGGGGGTTGTGGGGGTGAGGACTGGGGAGTGCTGTGGGCTGGACGAGGTCACTGGGCACCTAGTTAAATTTAAACTTCTGGGCCTGGCGCAGTGGCTCACGCCTGTAATCCCAGCACTTTGGGAGGCCGAGGCGGGCGGATCACGAGGTCAGGAGATCAAGACCATCCTGGCTAACATGGTGAAACCCCGTCTCTACTAAAAATACAAAAAAATTAGCCAGGCATGGTGGTGGGTGCCTATAGTCCCAGCTACTCAGGGGGCTGAGGTAGGAGAATGGTGTGAACCTGGGAGGCAGAGCTTGCAGTGAGCAGAGACTGTGCCACTGCACTCCAGCCGAGGTGACAGAGCAAGACCCCGTCTCAAAAAAAAAAAAAAAAAAAAAATTTTAAACTTCTGGTCAGGTGTGGTGGCTCATGCCTGTAATTCCAACACTTTGGGAAGCCGAGGCAGGCAGACCACTTGAGGTCAGGAGTTCGAGACCCACCTGGCCAACATAGTCTCTACTAAAAATACAAAAATTAGCCAGGCATAGAGGTGGGCACCTGTAATCCCATCATAGTTTGTTTATCCAATACTCACGAGTTGCAGCATTCAAATTCACTTTTTAAAAAAAATCAGTCTGGCCAGGAGCGGTGGCTCACACTTGTAATCCCAGCACTTTGGGAGGCCATGGCGGGCGGATCACCCAAGGTCAGGAGTTTGAGACCAGCCTGGCCAAAATGGTAAAACCCTGTCTCTACTAAAAATACAAAAATTAGCCAGGCGTGGTGGCAGGCGCCTGCAATCTCAGCTACTCGGGAGGCTGAGGCAAGAGAATTGCTTGAACCTGGAAAGCGGAGGTTGCAGTGAGCCGAGGTCACACCACTGCAATCCAGCCTGGGTGACAGAGCAAGACTCTATCTAAAAAATAATAATAATAAAAATAAAAAATAAATAAAATGAGGATGATGGGGCTGGGCACAGTGGCTCATGCTTGTAATCCCAACACTTTGGGAGGCTGAGGCAGGTGGATCACCTGAGGTCAGGAGTTCAAGACCAGTCTGGCCAACATGGCGAAAACCTGAAAAAAAATTAGCCGAGTGTAGTGGGGCATGCCTGTAACCCTAGCCACTGGGGAGGCTGAAGCAGGAGAATCACTTGAACACAGGAGGTAGAGGTTGAAGTGAGCTGAGATCGTGCCACTGCACTCCAGCCTGGGGTGACAGAGCAAGACTCTGTCTCAAAAAAAAAAAAAAAAAAGGATGATGATGGGAAGGTGGGGAATGTTACAGGTACAAAAAAAAAATAGAAAGAATGAATAAGACCTACTATTTGCTAGCACAACAGGGTGACTATAGTCAACAATAACTGTACATTTCAAAATAACTAAAAGAATGCAATTGGATTATAACAGAAAGGATAAATGCTTAAGGGGATGGACACCCCATTCTCCATGATGTAATTTTTTTTTTTTTTTTTTTTTTTTGGAGACAGAATCTCACTCTTGTTGCCCAGCTGGAGTGCAATGGAGTGATCTCGGCTGGCTTCAACCTCAGCCTTCTGGATTCAAGCGATTCTCCTACCTCGGCCTCCCGAGTGGATGGGGTTACAGGCGCCTGCCACCACACCTGGCTAAAATTTGTATTTTTAGTAGAGACCGGGTTTCACCATGTTGGCCAGGCTGGTCTCGGACTCCTGACCTTGTGATTCGCCTGCCTCCGCCTCCCAAAGTGCTGGGATTACAGGTGTGAGCCACTGTGCCCGGCCTAACCTGATTTTTATTTATTTATTTATTTATTTGAGACAGAGTCTCGCTCTGTCGCCACTGTGGTGCCTGCAGTGGCCTGGCGACTGCAGAGGTGCAATCTCGGTGTGAGCCACCGTGCCTGGCCCATAATGTTATTATCATGCATCGCATGCTTTATCAATACGCACCCGGCCGGGTGCGGTGGCTCAAGCCTGTAATCCCAGCACTTTGGGAGGCCGAGATGGGCGGATCACGAGGTCAAGATATCGAGACCATCCTGGCTAACACGGTGAAACCCCGTCTCTACTAAAAATACAAAAAACTAGCCGGGCGAGGTGGCAGGCGCCTGTAGTCCCAGCTACTCCGGAGGCTGAGGCAGGAGAATGGCGTAAACCCAGGAGGCGGAGCTTGCAGTGAGCTGAGATCCGGCCACTGCACTCCAGCCTGGGCGACAGAGCAAGACTCCGTCTCAAAAAAAAAAAAAAAAAAAAAAATGCACCCCATAAATATATACACCTACTATATGCCCACACTTTTTTGTTTTTTTTAAATAAGGATGGTGGACGTGGGGAAGATCCCTTACGCCCTAGGCATAGCCCGTGATGGGCCCTGCATGGCTGTGGGCAGAGGCAAACCCAGGCGCGGTGCAACAGCGCCATCTATCTGCGGGGTGAAGACCTGCAGCCTCATGGGCCTTCACCATCCGTGGACTTGGCTTACCCTTGAGGGGGACACAGAGGCAGTGAGGGTGTTTGATTTAGCGCACACACACGTGCACGCACACGCACACGCACATACACGAGCACACAGCACACTTCTGCTCCAAGTAGAAGTGAAGGCCAGACATCCTGGCTTGGTCTGCTCTACGAAGCAGGCCCTCTCTTGTCTACTTCCCCAGAGGCAAGCTGCTGAGTCTCCACTCACCCCACCTCCCCTCCGAGCCACAAGCCTCCTTGACTGCACCGGGCTCTCCTTCGCCACGTTCTCTCCCACATCTGCCCCAGATGGCTCCTGCTCCTCCACTAAGAGCCAGCTGTACTGAGGCTGGGCGCTGTCTCTGTTGGTCACATCCAGCTACGGAAAAGGCCTGGGAGCAAACGGCAGGGAGTGAGAGCCTAATCCCCCACTCCCACTCCATTCAAACCAGGTGCAGTGCAGTGGGATCACGACTCACTGCAGCCTCAACTGCCCAGGCTCAAGCAATCCTGTCGCCTCAGCTTCCTGGGGAAATGGGACTACAGGCGCACAGCAACCATGCCCGGCTAATTTTTTTATATGTTTTGTTGTAGAGATAGGGGTCTCACTATATTCCGCAGGCTGGTCTTGAACTCCCAGGCTCAAGCAATCCTTGCACCTCAGCCTCTCAAAGTCCTGAGATTACAGGAGTGTGCCACTGTGCCAATCTTGATTTTTTTTTTTTTTTTTTTTGATCCAGAGTTTCACATTTTTGCCCAGGCTGGAGTGAAGTGGTGTGATCTCGGCTCACTGCAACCTCCATCCCCCGGATTCCAGCGATTCTTCTGCCTCAGCCTCCCAAATAGCTGGGATTACAGGCGCCCACCACCACGCCAGGCTGATTTTTGTATTTTTAGTAGAGACAGGGTTTTACCATTTTGGCCAGGCTGGTCCCAAACTCCTGACCTCAGGTGATCTGCCCGCCTCGGCCTCCCAAAGTGCTGGGATTACAGGCGTGAGCCACCACGCCTGGCCAGCCTGATTTTTTTTTCTTCTTTTTTTCAGGCTGATTTTTTAAAAGTGAATTTGAATTCTGCAACTGGTAAGTATTGGGGAAACAACCTGTGATGCAGGCTGGGCACCATGGTTCACGCCTGTAATTCCAGCGCTTTGTGAGGCCAAGGTGGGCAGATCACAAGGTCAGGAGTTCAAGACCAGCCTGGTCAACATGGGGAAACCCCATCTCTATGAAAATACAAAAACTAGCCAGGCGTGGTGGCACGCGCCTGTAATCCCAGCTACTCGGGAAGCTGAAGCTGGATAATCGCTTGAATCAGGGAGGCGGAGGTTGCAGTGAGCTGAGATCATGCCACTGCACTCCAGCCTGGATGACAGAGTGATAATCCATCTCAAAAAAAGAAGAAACCTACTACTGATACACACAACAATAGGGACCTGTCTCAAATGTACCATTCTAACTAAAAGGAGCCAGATCCAAAAGGCCGTATGATCCCATTCACGCAGCATCCTGGGAAAGGCAAAACTGTAGGCACAGAGCAAATCAGTGTTACCTGGGGAGTGGGAGGAGTTGACCACTGAGATCTGGTGAGGTCGCAGAGAAAAAGGAACACTTATACACTGTTGGTGGGAGCGTAAATTAGTTAAACCATAGTGGAGGACAGTGCAGCAATTTCTCAAAGACCAAAAACCAGAAACACCATTCGACCCAGCAATCCCATTACTGGGTATATACCCAAAGTAAACCATTCTGTTATAAAGACACATCACAGCACTATTCACCATAGGAAAGATGTGATTCAACCTAAATGCCCATCAGTGGTAGACTGGATAAAGAAAGTGTGGTACACATACACCATGGAATACTATGCAGCCATAGAAAAGAATGAGATCACGTTCTTTGCAGGGACACGGATGGAGCTGGAGGCCATTATCCTTAGCAAACAAATGCAGGAACAGAAAACCAAATATCACATGTTCTCACTTGTAAGTGGGAGCTAAATGATGAGAACACATGGACACATAGAGGGGAACAACACATACTGGGGCCTATCAGAGGGTGGAAGTTTGGAGGAGGGAGAGGATCAGGAAAAATAACTAATGGGTACTACACTTAATACCTGGGTGACTAAATAATGTGTACAACCCCCATGACATAAGTTTGCCTATGTAATAAACCTGCACATGTATACCCCTGAACTTAAAAGTTAAATTTAAGGCTGGGCATGGTGGCTCACGCCTGTAATCCCAGCACTTTGGGAGGCCAAGGTGGGTTGATCACCTAAGGTCAGGAGTTTAAGACCAGCCTGTCCAACATGGCAAAACCCCGTCTCTACTAAAAACACAAAAATTAACTAGCCATGGTGGCAGGCACCTGTAATCCCAGCTACTTGGGAGACTGAGGCAGGAGAATCGCTTGAACCCAGGAGGCAGAGGTTGCAGTGAGCTGAGATTGCGCCATTGCAATCCATCCTGTGTGACAGAGCGAGATTCGGTCTCAAAAAAAAAGTTAAATTTAAAAACAAACAAAAAGGCTGGGTGCAGTGGCTCATGCCTGTAATTCCAGCACTTTGGGAGACTGAGGCAGGCGGATCACCTGAGGTCAGGAGTTTTAGATCAGCCTGACCAATATGATGAAACCCTGTCTCTACTAAAAATTCAAAAATCAGCTGGGCATGGTGGCATGTGCCTGTGATCCCAGCTACTCGGGGGGCTGAGACAGGAGAATCGCTTGAACCCAGGAGGCAGAGGTTGCGGTGAACTGAGATTGCACCATTGCACTCCAGCCTGGCCAACAAGAGCGAAACTCAATCTCAAAAAAAAAAAAAAAAAAAAAAAGAATAAAAACAAACAAAAAATTAGCCTGAGGTCAGGAGTTCCAGACCAGCCTGTCCAACATGGCAAAACCCTGTCCCTACTGAAAACACAAAAATTAGCTGGGTGTGGTGGCAGATGCCTGTAATCCCAGCTCCTCGGGAGGCCGAGGCACGAGAACTGCTTGAACCTGGGAGGCAGAGTTTGCAGTGAGCCGAAATAGCGCCACTGTACTCCAGCCTGGACGACAGAGTGAGACTCTGTCTCAAATAAATAAATAAATAAATAAATAAAGTAAGTTTGATGGGCTCACTCGGAGAGGTTCTGTTTATAGCCAAACCTCACTCAGGTTCCCTCAGCTCTTTTCCAGTTAGGCCTTGGACTTCCGTGTTTACCTCTGCATTGTCCAATTTTAACAAGAATCCTGCTAAGTCAGCTTAGCCAGTCCTTCATCCTCCACATCTGATTGCCCCTTGAACCCTGATGGGGGTCCTCATCCTCCACCCTCCCCCAGGCGCTGTCTGACCACCTTGGCCTGCCTTCAGCAAGAATCCCTTTAGGTTGTTCTTGCCGGAATCCCCCCAGCCCCCAGTGCTTTCTCGTGGTAATGTCCCATCCACTGTCCCCCACTCTGCTCGTTGGCTATAACCCCCATGGTGTACTCAGAGTTCAGCCCAGTTCTGATCTAAGGTCACTCTTCCCCTGTAGTAATAGTCTGGAATGCAATATGTTTTAGTTATTTTAACAACTGTCTAGTTCTGGTTTTCTTTGATCACTCTCCTGCTGAAAACTGACCTTTCACGGTTTCAGTTCCAGTTCTCTTGACTTTTTTCTTTCTTTTTGAGACAGAGTGGAGTGCAGTGGTACAATCATGGCTCACTGCAGCCTGGGCTCATGTGGTCGTCTCACCTCAGCCTCCTGAGTACCTGCTCCACGATGCCAAGGTAATTTTTTTTTTTTTTTTTTTTGTAGAGACAGGGTCTCAAACTCCTGGCCTTTTAAACATTTTTTTCTTTTTCTTTTTCTAGAGACAGAGTCTCACTTTGCTGCCCAGGCTGGAGTGCAGTGGCATGCGATGGAAAAGGGATGGAGCCCTGAGCTTTGGCAGTAACTGTAGACTCACTGCAGCCTCCGCCTCCTGGGTTCTCCTGCCTCAGCCTCCTGAGTAGCCGGGATTACAGGCACGTGCCACCATGCCTGGCCAATTTTCGTATTTTAGTACAGATAGCATTTCACCATATTGGCCAGGCTGGTCTTGAGCTCCTGGCCTCAAGTGATCCACCCACCTCGGCCTCCCAAAGTGCTGGGATTATAGGCGTGAGCCACCATGCCCAGCCTCCAACTCCTGGCCTTGTCTTCCTCCCGCCCTGGCCTCCCAGAGTGCTGGGATTAACAGACATGAGCCTCCACACCTGGCAACTTCTTTCCATTTTTCACTGATTCTCTGACACATCCTCATCAGCACCTGCACTGTGCGGGGTGTTAATAATTGCTAGGCATGAAGGCAACAGCGTGGGCAGCTCTTTCTCTTACCTGTCAGGCCTTAGCCTATGCTGTTGCAGGACTGTACCTCGGCCTGGAAGTCCCTTCCCTTGTCCCCAGTCTCCCCCTTCAGTTCTTATTCCACTTGCAGGTCTTCCCTTAAACATCACTTCCTCAGCAGGGGCCTCACAGACACCCCATTCCCCATATTAGATCCTGGTCCCTCTCTGCTTCCTGTTCTTCCCCCATTATCACAGTCTACAGCTGTTTCCTCTCGATGGGCAAAGACTATGTCTGGCCATTGAGTTTTCTACTATATTCAAGTGCTTCGCATACTGAACCATACAACCATTGCTGCTTTTATTGGTCAAAATGGCCAAATACTGGCAATTTTATATTGTTTAGCTTCATAGTATGCGAGCTAGGATACTTACCTATCAGAGAGGTCGCATAGCACAGTGAATCAGAGCCCAGGCTCTGGGACCACACACCTCAGGTCCAGCCCTGGCTCTGCCACTTGTCACTAAGTGATTGTGGACCAGAGACTCAACCCTCGGGGGCCTTGGGCTCCTCATCTGATAGGGATGACAATAATGACCTCCTCATGCTGTTATAAAAACAAGAAAGTGGCCAGGGGCAGTGGCTCATGCCTGCAATCTCAGCACTTTGAGAGGCCAAGGTGGGTAGATCACGAGGTCAGGAGTTCAAGACCAACCTGGCCAAAATGGTGAAACCTCATCTCTACTAAAAATACAAAAAAAAAAAAAAAAATTAGTCGAGCGCCTGTAATCCCAGCTACTAGGGAGGCTGAGGCAGAAAATTGCTTGAACTTGGGAGGTAGAGGTTGCAGTGAGCCAAGATTGTGCCACTGCACTCCAGCCTGGGCGACAGAGCAAGACTCTGTCTCAGAAACAAAAAACAAAAGACTTTTTTTTTTTTTTTTTTTTTTTTGAGACGGAGTCTCGCTCTGTCGCCCAGGCTGGAGTGCAGTGGCCGGATCTCAGCTCACTGCAAGCTCCGCCTCCCGGGTTTACGCCATTCTCCTGCCTCAGCCTCCCGAATAGCTGGGACTACAGGCGCCCGCCACCTTGCCCGGCTAGTTTTTTGTATTTTTTTTAGTAGAGACGGGGTTTCACCTTGTTAGCCAGGATGGTCTCGATCTCC